GAGAAAGCGGGCTGTCGTAGCCTGTAGTTCGGAATCGATTTTTGCGTTGGCGCTCTCGCTGCTCGCTGTGTACACGCGTAACGTGTTCGATTCGTGAACAGCAGCACCACACGCTATACGGCGAGCCTGCACAACCTGCGAATACGCGTGCGAGCGACGACGGCCTTGAGTAATCGGGCGAGACTTCGCGTGCCGGCCGGCCTATGTAGGTGCTCGAATTGTCATTAATCATCAATACAATCGAAACATATCCAAAAATAGAATTGCGTTGCCATCGAGTTCTCTTTCGCTCGAAAGAACGCGCACGCACGGCCGATTCGAGAGAGTGTATATACACCATTCACTCTGACGAACTTCGGGCGTTGACTTCCAAGCGCATTCCTGCGGGACGAATCACGTCGTAAGTCCATTTCATTGGCCGCTCGCGCGCGTCTCTCTCGTTTTCGAAACGATTGAACAACAATTTTTCACACGACGCTTATCAAAGACTCGGGGGGGGAGCGATGACGCAAGGACGTGCGTCTCGTCGGGATACAACACGTGCGTAATTTTCGTACAACGCTCCTCGTATCTTTGGGCGCGCGCGCGCGCGCTCGCGTGCGTGTATCTACACGTAAGCGAATTCGCGAGCGAGTGTGAGCGCGCGCGCTCGCGCGCGCGTGCCGTTGCGCAGTGCACAGAAGTGGTGGGGGAAATGCGAGGGGGGGAGAGAGACGCGCGGTACTTGGTAGGGGTGGATGCCCGGCCGGTGCGCGCGCTCCGAACGATGCGTGTGCATCCCCAACGGGCCGGGCGGCTATCTCTATCGCCGGCAACGTCGTATCACACGCGATGCGCCCACGAAACGCCGCGCTGCCGTTCCGCCGCGCCGCACCGCGGCAACCCCGCGTCGTTTTGCCGTATACTCATCCCCGCGCGCGCACGAAGAAGCGCGCGATAATATTCGCGCGCACGCGAACGCGCGGGAGATGGCTTCGCGAGATCTGCGTCCGCGCTCCAGCCCTACTACGCCGCGAAGAAGAGGATACGCCGTCGGAACCGGATTGCCGCGGAACTATACGAATCGGAGAATTGAAATCGGCCAGCGGAAAAGAGTCGAGTACTCTTTGCAAGATTTTCTGGAAAATTAAAACTCTCTCTCGGCTTTAAAGTTTGATGTACACGCGTTTTGGAAATCCTGTCAACTTGATAATTAAAAATGCAAGCAACATCGATAATAATTTACATTGCTATGTTAAATCGATTTCTCAACAAATGTTTTAAGATTTTCAGATCAGGACGAAAACTTTTTTTAATATTATTAAAAGTCAGGGAAAAAAGTTGTGAAAATTTTATACTGAGGAATTGTAACAATCTCTGCGGAATAGATATATAGATTTTCTTTCGGTAAGCGGAAATCACACGATGCATTAATTCTTAATGAAGCGTTTCATGCTGCTGTGCCTTTTTCGATGTATGAATATCTTCTAGAGATGCGATCCGTTTTACGCGGCAAATACTTCGTTGACCAATCGGAAGAAAGAATTTTGCGAATTGACCAATCAAAGAATGCTTCGAGGCATTAAATTTTACCTGTAGAATTCATTAATACATCAGAAAACGAGCATAGAATTCCAGATAACATGCACGTCTAAAAGATATCATAAAGACATTGTTTGAGATAGATATGTTTAAAAGATATCTGGAAGATGTCATAAAAAGCTCTTCTAGACAACGCGTATTGTCTATGGGAAGCTTATCATTCCCGAAATCATGTGATAGTGCATCGTGTGATTTGAGCTTTATATGTAACTACCCTTGGGACGTTTATCTAGACGCCTTCCTCCTGATCGAATTTTGCGATAGCACGCTGTCTCTATTACGCGTCATGCACAACGGGATGTTCGATATAATAACTGCATTTGACGATATAATCTTGATGCGCAATTTCAAGCAAAATCTTTTGTTTTTCTTTAAAAAAAATGTCATTATATTTCGAATATTTATTCCCAAACATATTATAAATAATACATAATTTTCACAATTTTCGCGTGAAAATAATAAATCGCGATAATAATCGCATATCGATTTTGTCCACAATTTTTTTAATAATCATGGATGACTTTAGTCTCATCATTTTATACACGCTATATTTTATAATTTTAAAAAATATGTTTTTATAAGTAGCTAACTGGCCGAGAGAATTAACAATTAATTAAATAAAGAACCGAATAATGAGCCTAACAAGATAATAATTCAATTAAAACAACTGTGTTTTCAGTGTCATATAAATTGTTCAGACGTTTCGGCGTTAAACGGTCGTCATTATAACCCCTTTCTCTCTTTAATTAATTATATTTTTACTCAATGCATTGTCTCTCGCGGCGAGAGTAATATCTGGGAGAGTAGATCGGCGCCGATCAGTGGCCGCTATATCGCGCACGCGAAGATGCTCGTCGGAATGCGTGGTGCCCTCTAGACTAATGCCATCGGTATTACCGCGTCCGTATCCTAAAGGTCGTAGAAAAGGGGTTGAGGGGGGGGGGGGGGGC